CAGAATTTCAATCTTGTTGCCCAGGCTGGAGTGCAATGGTTCAATTTCAGCTCACTGCAACCTCTACCTCCTGGGTTCAAGCGATTTTCCTGTCTCAGCCTCCCCAGTAGCTAGGATTATAGGTGCCCGCCACCACACCTGGCTAATTTTTTATATTTTTAGTAGAGATGGGGTTTCACCATATTGGCCAGGCTGGTCTCGAATTCCTGATCTCAGGTGACCCGCCTGCCTCGGCCTCCCAAAGTGCTGGGATTACAGGCGTGAGCCACCACGCCCGGCCGAGAAACTTCTTAATTGATTGACACCAGACTGACTAGCCAAATTGATTTCTGATGTTCACTATCGTCTCTGTAAAACACACTGACAGATGCCCACAACACGTTGACTCACAGGTCTACCAAGCCACTCTCTGGAAGGGCTACAAATATTTGCTCCAATTTAGTAAGGTGGAGCTTACCAAGAATCAGCTCTTTGCACAAACCTTTCTTTTCCAATTGCACTTGCTTTTGTGTAAATCAACAGGATGTTACATAAACTGATGAAATATATGTATGAAAACAAAAAACTGCTTGTGCAAATTATGCTTGGTGCTTTGAAAGACTAAATGCAAGCAAATGGCAAAAAACAACTGTCAAACTAGGTATGAGTAGCTGTCAAAGACTGGGCGGAAAGTGGAAAACTCTAGAGAATTATCCAGTCAAGCTGCTTCACAAGTATTTTTAGGTTCTAGCACTATTGCTAAACACACACACAGACACACACACAAACACAAACCCAACAGCCTGTGATTTAAAAAAAAAAAAAATAATAAAACAAAACAAAACAAAAAACTCTCTGGACTCCAGTCAGAAAATACGTACCCAAAACAAAGACCACAGCCCTGCCTCAAAATTGATAAGTAAGTGGACATTCATCTTAAGTTAAAATTACACGATTATATATGAGTGTGTCATTTGATGCCCAAATCACCTTCTCAATCTAAGCCATCAGCTCTCAGGGGCCAGGATTTAGACCAATAGGTCAAATTTCTAACCCATGTTTCTCAAAATGTAATCTACAGACCACCAATATCCACACCATCCTGGGTATTTTCTCTAAGCACAGATTTCAGTCACACCCTGTACTTCCTAAATCCTATTGTCTAAGAGGCGTCTGCATTTCAGTATGTTCTGTAGGAGATTCTGATGCACGTTAGAAGCTCTGTGTCAGGAATCAGGGACAAAGACCAAGGACATACATATTTCTTATTATATCACGTGTGCTATGGTAGACAGCAGCGGTGGTCTAGGAGAGTAATTCTGGGTTTACGACAAAGAAACAGTTGTTGGCCGGGCATGGTGGCTCACACCTGTAATCCCAGCACTTTGTGAGGCTGAGGCAGTGGATCACCTGAGGTCAAAAGTTCAAGACCAGCCTAGTCAACATGGCGAAACCCTGTCTCTATTAAAAATTCAAAAATTAGCCAGGCATGGTGACAGGTGCCTGTAATTCCAGCTACTGAGGAGGCTGAAGCAGGTGAATCGCTTGAACCCAGGAGGTAGAGGTTGCAGTGAGCTGAGATCATACCACTGCATTCTAGCCTGGGCGATAAAAGCGAAATCCCAGCACTGTGGGAGGCTGAGGCGGGTGGATCACGAGGTCAAGAGATGGAGACCATCCTGATCAACATGGTGAAACCCCGTCTCTACTAAAAATACAAAAATTAGCTGGGCATGGTGGCGCACGCCTGTAGTCCCAGCTACTCGGGAGGCTGAGGCAGGAGAATTGCTTGAACCCAGGAGGCGGAGGTTGCGGTGAGCCGAGATCGCGCCATTGCACTCCAGCCTGGGTAACGAGCGAAACTCCGTCTCAAAAAAAAAAAAAAAAAGGTTGCTGATAAAAGTGCCGCAAGTGGGGATGTTCTGGAGAGGTCAAGCAGAGGCTGAATGACTGTTGGCCAGGATTGCTAAAGAAGGTTCCAGAATGTGGTGGGAAGTTGAGTTTTGTGTGATTCATACTTGAGTTTCATTAAAACTAATAGTTTATCGTTGAGAATCCAACTTTTTTAGACCAATTGTTTTCTTGGCTTTCTTTTTCTTTCTTTTAGAAATGGAGTCCCACTCTGTTGCCCAGGCTAGAGTGCATCAGTGCCATCAAAGCTCATTGCAACCTGGGATTCCTGGGCTCAAGTAATCCTCCTGCCTCTGCCTCTCGAGTTGCTGGGACTGCAGGCATGCGCCATCGCCCCTTACTAATTTTTGTAGTTGTTTTTTTTTTTAGTGACAAGGTCTCCCTATGTAGTCCAGCTGGTCTCAAACTCCTGGCCTCCAGCAGTCCTCCCAGATTGGCCTCTCAAATTGCTGGGCTCACAGGCATGAGCCACCATGCTGGGCCTGTTTGTTTTGTTTTGTTTTTTAGCTTTCTTAAATTCTTTTCAAAGTTCCCAAAAATTACTTAAGGAGGTTAATGAGCAGGTTAAGTTTTATAGACAAATTACAGCCAAATGGTAATCTAAAAGGCAAATCTGACCATCTTTCCACACACTCTTCTCATAGTTGCTGAACCAGGCGGCAGAGTGGAAACTTCAGGCCAAAGTGCTGAAGGAACAAGAGACAGTCCTGCAGGCTCAGGTGAGCTCAGGGGGACAAGGCATGGGGGCACTGTCCTTACTGTGCCAGATAAAAAGGCTGGGGCCAAAGGTGGTGGCAGAAGGCCCCATCTGTGGCAGGAGATGGGGGATGGGAGTTGGAAATGAAGAACAACTTCACGTTTATTACTATTTTAAAGTAAAAATAAAAGCACAATATTATATCTATGAAAAAGAAACGTTCTGCGCCGGCAGCATCCAGTCAAAGGTTTGCTGACAGACAAAGGATGACAGCACAGTGGTCAGCAGAGTCAGCCGCTGTCCAGGTTCCCACCTAGCGCTCCTTATTTTCCCTCTGTCTCCCTCTCATTGCCCTGTTAAGGTAAAGAAGAAATCTTAAACTGCTCAGATGCACCATCTATGAATGGTGATTCTTAAAATGTCCTCATGTTTTGATATTATTTGTCATAAAAAGAAAATGAGGCCGGGCACAGTGGCTCACACTTGTAATCCCAGCACTTTGGGAGGCCCAGGCAAGAAGATCACCTGAGGTCAGGAGTTTGAGAACAGCCTGGCCCACATGGTAAAACCCTGTCTCTACTTTAAAAATACCAAAATTAGCCAGGTGTGGTGGCACGTGCCTATAATCACAGCTGCCCAAGAGGCTGAGGCAGGAGAATCACTGGAACCCAGGAGGCAGAGGTTGCAGGGAGGCAGAGGTTCCAGTGAGCTGAGATCATGTCACTGCATCTCCAAGCTGGGCGGCAGAGTGAGTCTCTGTCAGAAAGAAAGAAGAGAGACAGAGAGAAAGAGAGAGAGAGGGAGGGAGGGAGGGAAGGAAGGAAGGAAGGAAGGACAGAGGGAGGGAGGGAGGGAAGGAAGGAAGGAAGGAAGGAAGGAAGGAAGGAAGGAAGGAAGGAGAAAAGGAGAAAAATATTCACCACTCAAGTTTCTGTGCCATCAGAGGTTGGCCTTGTCAGTGGTGAATGGGTAGAAGTGGCAGGCAAGTCAGGAAGCATTTTGATTTGGCCGCGTGACACCTTTTATGCGCTTCTATTAGACTCTGGGAGTTCCTATTTCAGACTCAAAAAAAGGAGGGACCATTCTGGACACTCATGCCACAGCTGACTCTGGAAGAAAGCCAGACCCACCTACCTTCCCCCTGCCTTGGGGCTCTGCCCGTCTCTTAAATAATGGTCCCTGTGGGTTCCAGGAGTACCATCCTGCCACAGGCCACAGGAGGGCTCTAGCACCGCTGCCTCGGGAAACACCCAAGTGCTAAAGGGACTGTGAGGTCACAGGGAGAAATTCACTGAAGGCAAAGAAATCAGAAACCTTCCAAGTTGGGCAGCATTAATTTAAGATTTGTAAATGTTTATGTGCTGACAGCTGAGTACTTGTTCATTGTAAACACACACACACACACAGACACACACACAAAACTGTGTTCATTCTAAAAGAAAAAAGCAAATAAGAAACTTAAAATCACAGATTATGCCACTACATAGACAAAAATACAGGGAACATTTTCATATCTAGCCTTCTTAAAGCATATTTCTGCAATGTGTATATAACAATGCAAGAATAAATTATTTTCTCCAGTATGAACTACTCTCTGACAATGAAGAGTTGTTTTAACACACTAAGTACATAGAGGTTAGAACCATAATGTGTCTGAATTAAAGGGCTCAGAGTTACAAATTCAACATCATCCTTGAGGCAGTCATGGAACTCATCACAGCATGGTGCAGGGTGGGTGGCCGACTGCTGGCTGTCTAGCAGAAGGAAAGGGGTGTGACCTCACTGTCTAGGGGTTGGGGGAGCCCAAGGAATCAAGCCAAGGCCTCTAATTCTCTCTCTGCCTCATTTACCGCACAGCACCTTGAGGGAACAATAAACAATACTTGAAGCTGTGTATTATTTACATCATCTGCTACATGCAATCTCTACTCCTCCATGCAAAAGGAAGATAATCAACTTGAACAGAGTAGATTATGTTGTTAAACTCTGGGCTATCCAGGCTACAGAGTGATTCACTCAGCTGGCATTACAATCAGGCCTTTAATGACCTGTACAATAAAAATATAAAGGTTTTGATCTAATTTCCCACCTACGCCCCCTTAAACTTTAAAAAGCATCGACCAGGGGTTCTAGATTCGCTGTTGTTCCTCATTCATCTGTGAGTCCAGGCACTGGGCCAGAGTCCTGGCTTTTTATTTTTTATTTTTTTGAGGTGGAGTCTCATCCTGTGGCCCAGTCTGGAGTGTGGTGGCACAATCCCGACTTACTGCAACCTCCACGACCCAGATTCAGGCAATTCTTTGCCTCAGCCTCCTAAGTAGCTAGGATTACAGGCACTTGCCACCGTGCCCAGCTAATTTTTGTATTTTTAGTAGAGACGGGTTTTCACCATCTTGGCCAGGCTGGTCTTGAACTCCTGACCTCGTGATCCACCTGCCTCGGCCTCCCAAAGTGCTGGGATTACAGGAATGAGCCACCGTGCCCAGTTGAGTCCTGGCTCTTTTCCTGAGAAGCTGTGTGACCCTGTGCAACTCACCTAACCCTCTACGGACCTAAGTTTCCTTGTCTGCAAAATGAAAATGCTATAAGGAATCAATGACCCCAAGCTGGAGGCCTGCAACCCTTGAGAGGCCTGTGACTTTTCAGAGTTTCCAAAACATCAGCACATAAGGTAGCAGCTACTATCTAACATGTAGTTGTTTCTGATATTACGCCAGCTCTTGCTCAGCAACCGTGGATGGAAATTATGCCTATGGTTGTTTTTAAAAGGATGCAGTTAATGCATATGCAATACATAGTTGGTTTTCAAATCATGCATGCAAAGCGTTTTGCTCAGTGTCTGGCCCCAAATAAGCATCATTAATTCAACCACTATTTACTGAGCATCTACTAAGTGCTAGGCGTGGTTCTAGGTTTGGAGATACATTCATCAATAAGAGAGAGAAAAATCTCTGCTTAGTTGAACTCACAATGTAGTGGTAACAATAATGTTAATAAAAGTATGGGCTATTAATTAATGTATGAACTAGTAGTAGTATTTCATAGGTAAAGATTCATATAAGAAAATATGAGACAACAGGAGTCTTGAGTTGCAAAAAAGTTGAAGAACCACTAGAAAAGGTGATCCCAAGATGCTCTTCAGCTCTAGTTCATGAGCATAGAGAACTTCCAGAGGTGAAGAAGTGTGGCCCTAAGCTAAGCTGACCCCGCCTTCTTACCCAGTGCTCACAGTGTTCCACAGTGCAGGCAGCCTCACTAGTTGCAAGAACCCTCCTTTGTCTTTATTTTTGTCTCCAAGTTACCTTTGAAATTCTAATAATTACTTAAACCTCAAGAAGAAAATAGAGGTCTCGAATCCCTATGTGTAATCATGTTTAAACAAGCTCCTCATTAAAAAGCATCAGCATTACATTTTTAAAACTTTGAAAACAAACTCTATCACAGATTCTTTTGCGTAGCACTCCCACACTTCCTTTGGTTTTACACTGTTTTGAAAGAAGTGGGAGTAGCATAAGGCCAAGGCCCCATTTCTAAGTTCTGAGCAAGAGGATTATCAAGGACAGATTGTGTTATTTTCCTAGAGAAGTCACTTTTCAGTCATAAGACAACTGCTCACCAATTGGTGGCAGGCTTCTCACTTAGGGAAGCAATGTCTGGCTTTCAATTATACAAGCCAAGGCAACAGAATAAATGTCAGAGATGATCAATGGGATACAATTGTCACTACAAATAAGAGTGTTCATTGGATCAATAAGGATGAAGACAGCAGTAGATGTGGGAAGTCAGCAATATCTGATGTGGAAACAAAATACTACCCAAGGGGAAAGATCAGTGGGTAATTGCTAAAAGCATGTAATCAGAGTCTTAAAGGTCTGAAATCCTCTCCATGCCTCTGCAGGGTAAGAGGAGAGCACTACTGCACCTATTCTTGTCTTGGACTTACTCCCAAACCAAATCTCACAGGTTTACCAAGACAATTCCTGGATACAGTTGTTTCCCATGCTCTTTGAATGTTTAATTAAAATTTGGTGCTCAGTTAAAAGACTTTGTTTGTCACTTGGCCCATTTAAATCACACCTGTAATCCCAGCACTTTGGGAGGCTGAGGTGGGAGGATCAGGAGATCCGGAGTTCAAGACCAGTCTGGCCAACATGGAGAAACCCTGTCTCTACTAAAAATACAAAAATTAGCTGGGCGTGGCTGCGGGCATCTGTAGTCACAGCTACTTGTGAAGCAGAGACACAAGAAGTGCTTGAACCCGGGAAGCAGAGGTTGCAGTGAGCTGAGATTCCGCCACTGCACTCCAGCCTGGGTGAATGAGTGAAACTCTTGTCTCGAAAAAAAAAAAAAACAAAAAAAAGTGAACTATTGAGGCAATTTTTGTTGTTGTTCTAATCATAGAGAGTTTGTTTCTATTTCTGCCTCTGGCAGGAGAAATGCTATGCATGACCTCTGATGTCCTGCCATGGTTTTCTTAAATACCAAAGTGAGACTGGGAACATGACACATGAAACCAAACATGCATCATGTCAGCATGACGGTGAGAGGGAAGACACTACCAAATAAATATCCTTTCAGTAAACAGGAAGTACAGACGTTTAGTAAGTAGAAGAAGAGAGTGTTAGAGTTATCTGAGAAATCCACAATTTTTGCTACCTGACAGAGAGGTCAAATAGGAAAAAAAGCACAATATTAAAGACTGGTCACTGAAAGGAGAAATGGGGAATTGTTGTTTGATGTGTATAAAGTTTCCATTTTGCAAGATGGAAAAAGTTCTGCAGATTGGTTGCACCACATTGGAAACATACTTAGTTCTGGGCTATACACTTAAAAACGGTTAGGATGGTAACTTTTGTGTTATGTGTATTTTACTACAATCAATTTTTTTTAATTGAGGGGAAACCAAAACTAAATCCATAACTAGAAAAAGCACAGAAGAGCTGGTGATGAATCAAGACACTACTTCTTAGAACTCTGGGTGTGTCTGTCTTCTCCATGCTCATGAGCCAGCAACAAGAAAATGTAAGAAAAGTAAACAAAATCTGCCCAATTAATACGCCAACAAGAACATTCTGTCTTTTTCTTTTTTAAAGCCTTTACTTTGAGACATGATGAAAAAATATAACAGGTACACATGGAAAAGTAAGACATGATGACACTCTTACCCAGTTAAGTGAAGACAATCTAACCTGAGCGCTTTTACTGCCTCTGTTAGCTCATGTTGGGCTGAAGTCCTGGGGGTGGTTGTTCTTGCTGATTCCATCAAGGCTGTATCTGTGAGATGGACCAGACATGTGCTCACTCCTGCACCCATCTGTCTGCAACCTGCAACTACAGGGCTGCAAGAGGGATTGGAAGGATCAGCTCAGGAGACCACAGTATCTGAGGCCTCTATGTAACTCTGCTAGAGTTACTGATTAAGTTGGGAAAAGAACGGGGAGAAATTAAGGAAAAATGTTAATAGAAGGGGTCTGGCTGAAAATACAAATGAAAATATTTTGTGATAGAAGGTGACCAGGATCTGCTGGGGGTAGCTGTTCCCACCCTAGGCCAATGGATGATGTACAGGGTAGGCAGCCAGTCCCAAGAGCTAACCCCAGGGCAGAGTGTCCCAGACTAAAAGGTCTGACCCATTTGTGGGCCCTGAAATCAATTCCAGCCCACAGTGGATTCCAGCCAGTATTTTGAAAAAAATGAAAATGCAATTGAACAGAATATGTCAGAGTGCATTGCACATAATGAGTAAATATTGACTGGGCACAGTGGCTCATGCCTGTAATCACAACATTTTGGGAGGACGAGGCAGGAGGATTGCTTGAGGCCAGGAGTTTGAGACCAGCCTGGGTTAAAAAAAAAATAGCTAGGCATGATGCCATGTGCCCATAGCCTTGATATTCTGGGCTGATGCCGGAGGATCCCTTAAGCCCAGGAGGTCAAGGCTGCAGTGAGCTAGGATCACACAATTGTACTCCACCCTGGGTGACAGAATCAGACTGTCTCTTAAAAAAAAAACAGTAAACATTGTCTTAGGCACCCTATCTCTCTCTGTGTGTGTGTATGTGTGTGTGTGTGTCTGTGTGTGTGTCTGTGTGTGTAAAACCCTAGAGCACCTTCTTGACCACCAATTCCCTGATGCCCCTGTACTCTGTCTTCTTCAATCTGTGTGTTAAGGAATCATGAGAAACAAATTTCGGTTCTGTCACATACTTACAGTACTAATGAGTTATTTCAAAATGATGATCAGCTGTCATTTGACTTCAGATAATCAATATTCTACAGAAATGATTTATGTTATCATTTTGTTATCATTCCTGTCTACTGCAGTAAAATCTCTACTACTCCAAATTATTGGGGAAAACCCATTCTAGATAAGAAATTTTCTGGGCTCTAGAGGTTGTTTGATTCATACATACTCCCTCTCTCCTCCCATTCCCCAAGACTGCGTTTTCCAATCTGCCAGCTGTCATTTAGGGTGCTTTCTGTACTTTAAAAAAGACAGTCTCACTGATAACACCAGCTGGCCAATCGGTGCCTTCTTCCAGCTGATAACCCAGCTTTCCTGGTCTCTCCAGTGCAGCCAGGGCTCTTGTTTGTTGATGGATGCTGCAAGTCTGCTTCTTCATACAAAAAATGTGATATATGAAAATATTGTACCCATTTGAGGACTTGGGACTATTCTGGACACCCAAGAGTACCAAAGATTCATTTGAAAATTGAAGCTTGGCCAACCTGAATCATCCATACTAAATCCTCTCCCATTCAAAACATGCTACCCTAATATTATTTTCAAAGACAAGATTTTATTATTTTCTCACTGTAACTAACAATCAAGTATTTACACACTTTCCTTCACTGTGTTACCCCCATTTCCAACCTGAATGCAAGCACTTGGCAATACAAATGCTCCTCTCCCTGTCTCTCCAGTGAGCCACATACTTGGCAATGCTAATCCATACAATGCTTCTCTGCAAGTTAGAAAAAGCCATCTCTTCCTTAAGACCTATTACTTCCATCTGTGGAAAACTGGTGTAATAAACTGTAGGAAGTAGAAATGTTCCTCTTCAAAGTTTCCCATCTTGTTTAAGAAAAATTCATAAGTGTTAAAATAATAGTTTATTTTAAACACTTTCTTCAAAAGCCTTCTTGCTTTTTGTTAGAAGCCCTATCCTATGTAGCTGTTAGACATGCTTACAGGCACAGAGTACATTCTATGTCTTTGTACATTAACCAAGATACCTGTGCTGGATGTGCTCACAGGCACGTCCCAGCTCATTGCCTATGCCCCTTCCTTATTTGGGCTTCCTTTTCTGTTCTCCATTGCTTTTACCTGTTTAGAAAAGTTTCAAGTTATTAGCCAATTGGGTTTTAGTTTAGATTGTGAGGTCTGGCCCCAGCCAACGGAGATCAGACACATCAGTAAGGACAACCCCAAATGCATAAGAAACAAATATGTCTGCTTTCCTTTGTTCATTTTACTCTCATGGCAAGATTGCTAACAGGGTACCCTTTCTGCAGGAAGTAAAAAGAATTGCTTTGCTAAGAAATCCTTTGTCCCAGTACTAATTTTTTTTTTTTTTTGCGGCACCAAAAAGAAAAATGTTATGTATAACATAAACTGATATTGAGAAAAAGGGACATTTAACTGCTATTGGCTAGAATGCTGTATTCATCGACATACAAAACTCTGATGTCTGAAACAGAAATGGCACCTGCTTAGAGTGGTGTACACCTGCATCATGGCAATGGCCCTTGTCCGTGTCCAGGACACATATCCTTTATCACATCTTTTCATTTGTCTATTTTTACCCTTCCTTCAAGACCAAGTTCAAGGTTCACCTTCTCCATAAACATGCAGCTCACATGATCACCCACTGTCCTTAACTGACTTGACTTTGTAGCCATTGTGCTGTAGTCAAGTTGTCTTTCAAGCTGTCTTCTCATTAGAAGTGTAGGTCCCCCAAACGCAGATCCATGTGTTAAATACTTTTGTACATACAGTCCATGCACATAGTACTCAATAAACGCTGGTAAAAGTTGTAATATAATGAAACAGTAATAACATATTTTCTTTTTTCTTTTTTGAGATAGAGTTTCGCTCTTGTTGCCCAGGCTAGAGTGCAATGGCACTATCCCAGCTCACTGCAACCTCCGACTCCCAGGTTCAAGCAATTCTCCTGCCTCAGTCACCTATGTAGCTGGGATTACAGGCACCCACCACCATGCCCAGCTAATTTCTGTATTTTTAGCAGAGACAGGATTTCACCACGTTGGCCAGGCTCGTCTCAAACACTTGACCTCACCTGGCTTGGCCTCCCAACGTGCTGGGATTACAGGCATGAGCCACCACGCCCGGACTACTTTTTCATTTTTCTTTTTTTTTTTTTTTTTTTTTGAGACGGAGTTTCGCTCTTGTTACCCAGACTGGAGTGCAATGGCGCGATCTCGGCTCACCGCAACCTCCGCCTCCTGGGTTCAGGCAATTCTCCTGCCTCAGCCTCCTGAGTAGCTAGGATTACAGGCACGTGCCACCATGCCCAGCTAATTTTTTTTGTATTTTTAGTAGAGACAGGGTTTCACCATGTTGACCAGGATAGTCTCGATCTCTTGACCTCGTGATCCACCCGCCTCGGCCTCCCAAAGTGCTGGGATTACAGGCTTGAGCCACCGCGCCCGGCCCTCATTTTTCTTTAAAGAAACATTTGAATTAGGCTCACTGA